TAGCCCTCGTGTAACTTTGCGCGAAATTCAAAACAAACAAACTAATTAACTAAATTCGTTTTTATTAAAACTTTGTGTTTTTACAGTGATTTTAATTTCATTATATTCAAAAGTTGCTGAAAGTCACCTATAGCAAGTGTCAACTCCCTCAGAGAACCTATCCTATTATATTTTTTTATTATATCAATGCTTCTTCGGGCCGTTGCGTATGTTAAACTAAAGTTGAAGCAATATCGGGCCATTGAGTATGTTGAGCCAAGGATTAAACGACACCGGAAGTCATCCATCACAAAATTGACTTTAGGAACATGGCACCTAATGCTGAATGTCAGCGTTGAATTTTGAAATGCGCCTTGTGTTAATATTTTGACCGTATCAAAATAGAGGATGTAAATGCCACTAGCTTCAGTAAATCACACAGATTAAAGCGTCTCAGCGCAATCTGGTATTACAGGATTTATATATTTTAAATAGAGTCAAGTGTTGATGGCGTCATATTCAGTGTTCTCTAGCGCTGTATTTGAAGTAAAAGCAGAATATTGCTTCGACATTTGTACAACTCTATAACATGTAGGAGTCAGTCTTCCTGGAAATAATGAAATATGTGATGTCATCGGTTTATACTCACATTAACTAATTTAAAAAAATCCATAAATATCTTGATTGCTTTTTAAAGATGAACAATATGACAACTACATTTTCAATGTTTATTAATGGCAAAAGATCCGAGAAGCCTACATCTAATGCAATACTGGATCTGATAGTGCTAATAATGAGGTCCTGAGATACTAAACTAGATTGTGCTAGTGACTACTACTAGTATATTAATTTTAGATATGTTATTTCTACAGGTATCCCTCGATTTACGAACGTTCTCTTTACGTATATTCTAATATTTAAATACCTTTAGTTACTGAGCAATTTTTCATTAAGTAATGCAAATTCAGCTTCATTCACTGCATCAGATTTTTAGGTCTGATATTGTTGGACATGGGAGGGTCAGGTACACTTTCGACCTCTTCCTTCCTCCTAACAGTAGATTTTTGCTCTTTTATTTCTATTGCTGTAACAGATATTTCAGATATCATGTCTAATTTGTTTTCCTTCTACGAATATTTTTGGTACTTTTTATTGTTTAAAATTATTGCTTGTTGTTATTGTAGTTTGGTCGGGTTTGCTGAATCTTTCTTTAATCCACATTTGTTTTCCTTCTACGAATATTTTTGGTACTTTTTATTGTTTAAAACTATTGCTTGTTGTTGTTGTAGTTTGGTCGGGTTTGCTGAATCTTTCTTTAATCCACATAGAACTTTCACGGAGATGCTTTCCACACTTATATAATGCTATATTTATTTTCTTAGTGCCCGTAAATAAAATATTGCATTGCCCTTTTAAGGCCTTGTCCGTTTACGGGCTGATATAATCCATTTTTACATAATTACACATAAATCTCTTATATAGGTTTACACAAAGTCTTGCGTTCGCAATACAGTCCTTCGCAGTAATAATGTATTATACACAAATACATTTATTTCAGTTTAATGGACCTGAAAGGCACACGGCTACATTTGGGCTCATCTGAAAGGAAAATGTCTTCTCTTTCCAAAGATGCCTGCTGTAGAACTGTGAATTAGTGGAAACATCGTCAAAAGTTTGGCCAAAATAACACACCCTCAGATTTTGGATGTGCATACAAAAAGACAGAGTTATCCATTATAAGTTTATAAAAAAGTTCACAGTATTTCGTTATAATTTCTCCTTTTTGCATGAAAGTAATAGAGCACACTAACCAATGCAAACAACTGTGTTTTAATGAAGATTACAAGTTGAAAGTACATGTACATCTGTTCCGCTTAAACTTATTTAAACCTCTTCAAATTCTTCATTGTCGTCTTCTGTTGCTTTGGTTTGGTGAGTGTTAGTATTTCCATAACTCTCATCCCATGTTGGTGACAAGAACATCCACCACTGCACACGTGCCTAGAACTACATGAACACATCATATTCTGTATCATGTCGAATGCTGTTGGACCAACATTCAAAACTCGTAGAATAATTCTGTCCACCTTCTGCTACCCATGACCCAAAGGTGTGCCAACATTATGCCTGGCTATGTGCGCAGATTTAACACATATTTGTTTGCCAAGAGGCATGCTTCCCTTGCTGTTCAAAGCTGTCCTTGCACGGAGGTAGCCTCTAGAGTTCGACTTCTATCTTTATTGCCAGCTTTGCGTTGAGGGTCATACAGTGTGGCCACAAATTTTCGCGATATTGTTATTGGCGAGTTCTGCATCATTTCCTGACAATGCTATGAGGTCTGAGAAGGTATCAGGCTGAGAAATTATTTTCTTCATCACAGATTTATTTATAATACCATAGAAAGCTGGTATAGTATCACAACCAGTTTGTGGATGTACCTCGAGTAGAATGTTACATATGCATTCTCTGTCCTGGATGTTTTGCAATATCATGTACTAGAATGACTCTCCTTTTGTCGTAACATGCTGGCATCACACCTCCTTCAATCCAGATCTCTTTTATCACATTCAACACCTGAAAGCAATAAGTCAACAGGACCAGAAGTATCTGCAGATTTTATAATGTCTGTGCTTTCAACATTTGTGGTTGAAAATACTCGATTTGCCTCAGCTACGTGAAGAAATATTTCCGTATCGACCTCCTCCTTTGAACTTGACATATCTGGCATCTGTGTTACACTATGTGATGTTATTTGCAAGACATCTTTACCATTCCTGCTGCTGAGAAGATACAGTGTTTTCTCCAAATTCCTTGAAGGTGCTTTTGTATATGTTGCATGATGTAATCACATAAGATCTAGACAAGATTGCTTTTGTTGGCAGAAACATCTAAAAACGTTCACCCGGGTGGAACTGGACAACCTCAGAGCACATTATATTTCTTACCTTGAGCACGGTCTCCAACATGCTGTAATTGTTCTCCAGTTCTGATTTTGTAGTCTTGCGTATTGTATCATCTTTATGACACAAACTGGCAAGTATCGATCTAATGGGATGACTGAGAACAATATCTAATGAAACATCCTCTCGACAACTGGTAAGACTTAACACCCTTCAAAATATTATGTCTGGACTTATGTTAGCTAGCTTGCTGCTGTCTTTAGCTTGCTTGTTTGTTTGTTTGTTTGTTTTTGAATTTCGCGCAAAGCTACACGAGGGCTATCTGCGCTAGCCGTCCCTAATTTAGCAGTGTAAGACTAGAGGGAAGGCAGCTAGTCATCACCACCCACCGCCAACTCTTGGGCTACTCTTTTACCAACGAAT